TGCACTCCCATGTTCACTCCAGCATTATTCACATTAGTAATTTGTTTGTGGCCAGGTACAGTGGCTCACACCTGTAATCTCAACACTTTGGGAGGCTGAGGCAGGAAGATCACATGAGGCCAGGAGTTCAAGACCACTCCAGACAACATAGATAGACTCTGTCTCACAAAAAAAAAGACCTTGAGATAAGGTCTTGCTCTGTCGCCCAGGCTGGAGTGCAGTGGCACAATCTTGGCTCACAGTAACCTCTGCCTCCCAGGTTCAAGCGATTATCCTGCCTCAGCCTCCTGAGTAACTGGGGCCCACCACCATGCCAGGCTAATTTTTGTATTTTTAGTAGAGATGGGGTTTGACCACGTTGGCTAGGCTGGTCTTGAACTCCTGGCCTCAAGAGATCCATCCGCTTTCGCCTCCCAAAGTGCTGGGATTGCAGATATGAGCACCTGGACTTCACAAAAAATTAAAAATTAGCCTGGCACAGTGGCTGGTGCCTATGGTTCGAGCTACTCAGGAGGCTGAGGCAGGAGTATTGCTGGAGTCCAGGAGGTTAAGGCAGCAGTGAACTATCATTGTGCCACTGCATTACAGCCTGGGCAACAGAGCAGGACCCTGTGTCCTAAAAAAAAAGAAGAAAAGGGTAGTTTTAAATTACGGTAAAATCATATAACAAAATTTACCACTGAACAATTTTAAAGTGAGGTATTGCTGTTAAATACATTCAGGATGCTATGCAACCATCGCTACTATCTAGTTTCAGAACGTTTTCATTACCCCAGACAGAAGCCCTGTACTCATTAAGCAGTCACCCTTCATTTCCCACAAGCATCCAGCTTCTGCAATCTGCTTTCATCTCTATGGCTTTGCCTATTCTGGACTTTTCTTTTTTTTTTTTTTTCCGAGATGGAGTTTCGCTCTTGTTACCCAGGCTGGAGTGCAATGGTGCGATCTTGGCTTACTGCAACCTCCGCCTCCTGGGTTCCAACAATTCTCCTGCCTCAGCCTCCTGAGTAGCTGGGATTACAGGCACGCGCCACCATGCCCAGCTAATTTTTTGTATTTTTAGTAGAGACGGGGTTTCACCATGTTGACCAGGATGGTCTCGATCTCTTGACCTTGTGATCCACTCGCCTCGGCCTCCCAAAGTAATAGGATTACAGGCTTGAGCCACCGTGCCCAGCCTATTCTGGACTTTTCATAGAAATGGAATCACACAATAAATGGCCTGTTGTGATTGGCTTCTTTCATTTAACATAATGTTTTCAAGGTTCATACATGTTGTAGAATGTGTTTTTATGGATGAATAATATTCCATTATATGTATATGCCACATTTTGTTTATTTATTCATCTGTAGATGACATTTGGGTTTTTTTCACCTTTTGGCTTCTGTGAGTATCGCCACTGCGAACACTGGTGTACAAATATCTATTCCAGGCCCTGCTTTCAATTCTTTTGGATATATACCCAGGAGTGGAATTACTGAACCATATGATAGCTCTACATTTAATTTTTTGAGAAACTGCCATGATGCTATCCACAGCAGCTGCATCATTTTACATCCCATTCCCACCAGCAATGCACTTTGGCCCATGTTTTAATTGGGTTGGTTGGTTGTCTTTTGGCTGTTGAATTGTGAGAATTATTATTATTTTTTTTTAGATGAAGTTTCGCTCTTCATTGCCTAGGCTGGAGTGCAACGGTGGTATCTCAGCTCACTGCAACCTCCATCTCCCAAGTTCAAGCAATTCTCCAGCCTCAGCCTCCTGAGTAGCTGGGATTACAGGTGTGCACCACCACGCCTGGCAACTTTTGTGTTTTTTAGTAGAGGCGGGGTTTCTCCATATTGGTCTGAAGGCCTGACCTCAGGTGATTCGCCTGTCTCAGCCTCCCAACATGCTGGGATCACAGGCATGAGTCACCGTGCCCAGCTGAGAGTTCTTCTGGACACTAGACCCTTATCAGATGTTTAATATGAAAATATTGTCTCCCATTCTATTGCCCCTTTCCACCTCTTCTCGTCTTGCATTCTCATTAGGCCTAAGTTGGGGTTCTTAATAGTCCCACAAGTCTCCCAGGCTCTGCCTCAGAGAAAATATTATCTTTTCATTTTCTTTATAGTGTCTTTCAATGCAAACAGTTTTTAATTTTGATGAGGTCCAACTTACCTATTTTTTCTTTTGTTGCTTGTGCTTTTGGTGTCATATATTAGAAACCATTGCCAAATCCAAGGTCGTGAAGATTCCTTCCTAAGTTTTCTTCTAAGAATTGTATAGTGTTAGCTCATACTTTTAGGTTTTTGACCCATTTTTAGTTAATTTTTATTTATGGTGTGAGATAAGTATTCAAATTCATTATTGTGCAGGTAGATCATCTAATGTCCTTTCCTTTTGCCCCAAGAATTCCCCGTAACTTTTTTTATATGGCCAGGCTAATGACAATAAACTCTCTCAGCTTTGGTCTATCTAGGAATGTCTTAATTTCTTCTACATTCTTCAAGGATAGCTTGGCTGGAATAGAATTCTTGGTTGACAGCTTTTTTTCTTTCAGCTCTTTAAATATGTCATTCCACTGCCTTCTGGCCTTAGTGCTTTCTAATGAGAAACTGGCTGTTATACTTAATGATTATCCCTTGTACATTATGATTCATCTTCTCTCTGCTTTCAAGTGTGTCTCTTTATCTTTGGCTTTCAACAGTTTGATGATGTGTCTCAATGAGGATCTCTTTGAGTTTAGGAGTTTGTTGAGCTTCTTAGATGTTTAGATCCATGTCTTTTATAAAATTTTGGGTTTTCAGTATTAATTCTTCAATATTCATTATGCTTCTAGAAAGAAGATAGAAATCTCTTCTCTTCCTTGCATTCTCATTATACCCAAATTGATATGCATAATGGTGCCCCACAAGTCACCAGGCTTTGTTCTTTCCCTCCCTTCCTTCCTTCTTTCCTCCCTCCCTTCCTCTTCCTTCCTTCCTCTCTCTCTCCCTCCCTTCTTTCTTTCTTTCCTTCCCTCCCTCTCTCTTCCTCTCTTTCTATCTTTTTTGAGACAGGGTCTCACTCTGTCACCTAGATTATAGTGCAGTGGCATGTTCATGGCTCACTGTAGCCTTCAACTCCCAGACTCAAGTAATTCTCCTGCATCAGTCTCCCATCTCTACAAAAAAAAACAAAAATTAGCTAGATGTGGTGTCATGCATCTGTAGTCCCAGCTATTCTGGAGACTGAGGTGGAGGATCGCTTGAGCTGGGGAAGGAGATGTTATAGTGAGCCGAGATCACATCACTGCACTCCAGGCTGGGTAAGAGTGAGACCCTATCCAGAAAAAATATTAAAAGAAAACTAGACACTATACACACACACACACACGCATACATGTACGTATGTGTTTATATATATATATTTTTTTTTGAGATGGAGTCTTGCACTTGTCACCCAGGTTGGAGTGCAGTGGTATGATCTTGGCTCACTGCAACCTCTGCCTCCTGGGTTCAAGTGATTCTCCTGCCTCAGCCTCCTGAGTAGCTGAGATTACAGGCACTGGCCACCATGCCTGGCTAACTTTTATATTTTAATTTTTTATATTTTGTATTTTTAAAATTATTATAATAATAATTACTATTTGAGACACAGTCTCACTGTATTACCCAGGCTGAAGTATAGTAGCACAATTTTGGCTGACTGCAACCTCCACCTCCCAGATTCAAGTGATTCTCCTGCCTCAGCCTCCCAAATAGCTGGGATTACAGGCACTTGTCACAATGCTTAGGCTAATTTTTGTATTTTTGGTAGAGACAGGGTTTCACCACATTGCCCAGGTGATCTACCTGCTTTGGCCTCCCAAAGTGCTGAGATTACAGGCATGAACCACTGCGCCCTGCCAACACCTTTATTATTTTCACACCTGTAATCCCAGCACTTTGGGAGGCTGAGCTGTGCAAATCATCTGATGTCAGGAGTTTGAGACCAGCCTGGACAATATGGTGAAACCCTGCCTCTACTAAAAAAAAAAAAAAAAAAAAAATCAGCCAGGCACAGTGGCAGTCGCCTGTAATCCCAGCTACTTGGGAGGCTGAGGCAGGAGAATCACTTGAACCTGGGAGGCGGAGGTTGCAGTGAGCCGAGACTGCGCCATTGCTCTCCAGCCTGGGTGACAAGAATGAAACTCCATCTGAAAAAAAAAAAAAAAAAGAAAAGCGATACTCTCCAGGTGTTTGCAGAAGATTGGCTCTGTGCTGCGAGAACTCTTTCAATGCCTCACCTGGCCGTTTACAATTCTTTCTCAGTCTTTGTTTTCTGTCTGTTCTGAACCTAAAGACCATCTGGAGGTGAATGCCTGTGCTCTTCTCAGGTCTTTTTTGGGCATGCATCCTGCCTTGGGCACGTGTGTGGATTTCTAGGTTCCTCAGTATACAGAGGGGATTTTCCAGACCTCCTATTCCTCCAAAATCTCACTCTCCAGCTTTTCCTCCCAGGCTTTCTGCAGGTCTTGTTTGCCCCAATGTTATGTTTTGCCCCAGGTGGCAGCAGCTAGTTCATTTGTCTTTCAGTTTTCAAAGAATGTCCTCTGCATAGCTGCTCCACCCTGAAAGATTTCTGAATTAGGCAAAACAAAGAGAAGCCTCTCACAGCAATCCTTTAGGGAAACCCCTCAGGTGAAAAGAGATAAACACAATTTCTTGGGAACAAAGTCCACTCTGCTTCCTCTGGAACCGGTTATCAGGAACACCAGCTGCCATCTTCCATGTAAAGGAGGGGCGTGGGGAAAGGCTCAATTAAAACACCTCAAGGGGCCAGGTGAGGTGGCTCACGCCTGTAATCCCAGCATTTTGGGTGGCCGAGATGGACGGATCATGAGGTCAGGAGATTGAGACCATCCTGGCTAACACAGTGAAACCCTGTCTCTACTAAAAATACAAAAAATTAGCCGGGCTGCAGTGAGCCGAGATCGTGCTACTGCACTCCAACCTGGGTGACAGAATAAGACTCTGTCTCAAAAAAAAAAAAAAAAAAAAAAAACCTCAACAAACACTCTCCTTCCCTTACAGTGGCTTTTCTGGTTACCCATTTGCTTGATTGCGGTAAACCTTTGACTGTGAGTTTGATCAAGTTGATGCTGACGATTCTTGATAGTTTTTTTGGTGTCTCTGGGGAGGGGTGGCTTCCAGAGGTTCCCCCTCCACCATTTTACTAGTGTCAGGGTTAATGATGTTTTGTAAAGATCTTGCACACCATTTATTAGATATCGTCCTGGGTTAGATACTATATTAGATATTTTCTTGGTATTTGATGCAATTGTAATTTTTGCTTTTTCTTTTTAAGAGACAGGGTCCTGCTCTACCATCCAGGCTGGAATGAAAAGGCACAATCATAGCTCACTGCAGCCTCAAACTCCTGGGCTCAAGTGATTCTCCTGCCCCAGCCTCCTAAGTAGCTGGGACCACAGGCACGTGCCATCATGCCTGGCTAATTTTATTAATTTTTTGTAGAGATGAGATCTCATGATATTGCTCAGGCTGGTCTTGAACTTCTGGCTTCAAGCAAGCCTCCTGTTTCAGCTTTCAAAGCACAGGGATTACAAGCATAGCCACTGTGCCTGGACTGTATTTTTTAAAAATCTCATTTCTTAGGCCGGACACAGTGGCTCACGCCTGTAATCCCAGCACTTTGGGAGGCCCAGGCAGGTGGATCACGAGGTCAGGAGTTCAAGACCAGTCAGGAGTCCGAGATCAGTCTGACCAACATGGTGAAACCCCGTCTCATTTTCTTTTTTAAAATTAAAAAAAAATCTCATTCATTTCTTTTTTCTTTCTTTTTTGCCCACCTGCAACTGTCTTGATCGAGTTATATAAAAATCTCATTTTCTAATTGACCAGTTACTGGCATATAAAAATCTACTTTAAAAAAATATTGATGAGGCCAGGCACAGTGGCTCACACCTGTAATCCCAGAACTTTGGGAAGCCAAGGCAGGTGGATCACCTGAGGTCAGGAGTTCAGACCAGCCTGGCCAACATGACAAGGACTCTGTCTCTTTTTTTTGTTTTTAGAGTCTTGCTCTGTCACCCAGGCTGGAGTGCAGTGGTGCAATTCTGCTTACTGCAACCTCTCGCTCCTGGGTTCAAGTGATGCTCGTGCCTCAGCCTCTCGAGTAGCAGGGATTACAGATACCCGCCACCACACCTGCCTAATTTTTGTATTTTCAGTAGAGACAGGATTTTATCATGTTGGCCATGCTGGTCTCAAACTCCTGACCTCAGGTGATCTGCTTGCCTTGGCCTTCCAGAGTGCTGGGATTACAGGCATGCGCCACCACGCCCAAACCTGGTCTCCACTAAAAATACAAAAATTAGCTAGGCGTTGCTGGTGAGCACCTGTAATCACTTGGGAGGCTGAGACAGGAGAATCACTTGAACCTGGGAGGCAGAGGTCTCAGAGAGCCGAAACCACACCACTGAACTCCATCCTGAGGGACAAGAGCAAAACTCTGTCTCAAAAAAACAAAAATAAAAAAATTGATCAAAAGATTATGCTAAAATTACTTCTTAATTCTAACAGTTTCTGTGAACTCTTTTGGATTTTCTGTGTCATCTCTGAATAATGTTAGTTTTACTTTTCCCTTTCTAACCTGTATATCTCATACCTTATTAGGTTGCTGTTAAGTACCGTTGATGAGCTGAATGAAGAAAATGACGGGTTGAAGCTAATCAGCCACTAATGCTGACACTTTGACAGGATTGTCTTTTTGAGATGGGTTTTCACTCTGTTGTCCAGGCTGGTCTTTACTTCCTGGGCTCAAGTGATCCTCCTGACTCAGGTATGAGCCACTCTGCCTGGCCCTACAAAAGCACTGTTAAAGACTGGACTACTAAGCATTTCTCCTTTGCAAGGAGTGTGATGTTGAGCCTTTTCAGTAGAGGGCACAGGAGGGACACTGCAGAAGGAAGGGAGCTTCTCTTCCTAGTTCCAGCATGCTGCATTCTGCTTTTATTGCTCCTGTTCCATGGCCTATCAGCAACCTGTGTATGTCGATGGTGGGGATCGTCTATGACCGCTTCCATTCAAGCTGTGTGCCCTGAGATTGAGAGTGCAGCCCCTCAGCTGCACACCATAAATAAGCTACCATGAGGCCCCAGTGTGGGCCCAGAGACCACCCTGCTGCTCCCAATGCAGATATAGCACACTCCAGACTGCACAGCCAGAGTGGTGCCCTCACTGTCTCTGCAAGCCTGTCCACTGGCCTCAGCTCACCTTGCAACCGTCCTGATGTGGACACCACAGGCTCCAAGCAGCCCAGCTCTCCATGCACCCTGGGGGTTGTTTCCTGCTTGCCTGCTGATTGTTGACCAGCTCTGGCCTGGGCGTGTAGCAGACCTTTCTGCCAACCAGTAGGAGAAGCTGTAGCAGCTTCTCCAATAAAATCTCAACCAAGGTCCGGACATGGTGGCTCATGCCTATAATCCCAGCACTTTGGGAGGCCGTGGTGGGTGGATCACGAGATGAGGTGTTTGAGACCAGCCAACACGGTGAAACCCCATCTCTATTAAAATACAAAAATTAGCCAGGTGTGGTGGCACATGCCTGTAATCCCAGCTACTCAGGAGGCTGAGGCAGGAGAATCGCTTGAACCCAGATGTGGAGGTTGCAGTGAGCCGAGATCTCACCACTGCATTCCAGCCTGGGTGACTGAGCGAGACTCCATCTCAAAAAAAAAAAAAAAAAAACCTCAACCAGGGCCTTGGTAGTGTTCTCCCTCCACTCCACAATACCCTTTAGAGCTTTCTCACATCTTTATACTTACCATCCTGTCATCATTTAATAATTCTTTATATGAAGCCACTCTCTTTAAGTTACTGGACGGTTTCTATTAATTGGACACAGACTGATAAAAATATCAGTCCCAGGAGTGGTCCCAGGAGATAGACTGAGAAAGGTGAGAATTGGGCAATGGTTGGTTTGTGTCCTTGGACTTGAGCACACTGCTAGCCTCCTTGTTCATGAGAAAAAGGTATGTAATGGCATCACGATTAGTCAAGTCATCGTCTGTGTTGGTTCTGATAGAGTGCCAGTGGAAGCCCACGTCTCAGGAGCCCTTATGGCTGCCGCCTTGCACCATTATGACGGTAATAATGACTATACTATAGTATAGTCTCAAGTATGGGACAGTTATTTCCAGTGTACTTGAGAGCTCATAAGAGAAAAAGCTGACAAGCTCAGGTCTGTTAACTCTCAGTTCAAGTCACGGAGTGAGAACCAGAAAGCTTCCATGACAACCGGCAAAAGAATCTTGCCAGCAACAGTGACTCATGCCTGTAATCCCAGCAATCAGGAAGCTGAGGCAGGAGCACTGCTTGAGGCCAGGAGTTTAAGACCAGCTTGGGAAACATAGCTGAAACCGTGTCTCTAAAAAAAATTTTTCTTGGCCTGGCGCTGTGGCTCACTGCCTGTAATCCCAGCACTTTGGGAGGCAGAGGTGGGTGGATCGCCTGAAGTCAGGAGTTCGAGATTAGCCTGACCAACATGGTGAAACCCCGCCTCTATTAAAAAAACAACAACAACACTTTTTTTCTTAAGGAATCTTTTATTTCTTGTAGATCCAGGGCTGATATTGCGGAAGACCAAAAATAAAATTTAATTGTGCAGGTTGCTGAATCATAATGACAGTTGAATTCAACAGTCTTGCCACGTTTTTAATGTGAAAGTGAGGGCATTGATAAGGAAAGAATGGGATCCTGAACCTTGCAATCGAGACATCTCAAACGAACTAAGACAACTCAAATGAATTGAGACATCCAAATGCAGCTGGTAATCTTGAGATCCAGGATTACCAGGGGGTAGTTCTGAGCCCCCTGACCGGCAGAAGTAGGTTGCCCTCTGGTGTCTGAGGATGTTACCTTTCTTCTGTGTGAAATCAGTGTGACAGCCTTGCTTGAGGCGGAGGCCTTGAGGGATGGTCATTCTCCACTAGACCCACCATAACCATACCTGTGGCCACCAGGCTCACAAAGTCTTAGCATGCTCTAGAGGGACAGGAGTACTCTATGACCTAAGAGGAGACAGCTTAGGCACCAAAAGGATTGCAAGGCTTTGCTAATATATATTAGTAGTCACCTGGGGACTATGCATGGGAATGGATTCTGAGGTTGGTGGATCAGAGGGCAAAATATAGCACAATATCAGGCCAAATCCTTTTACATGAGTGTGCTTACTAGAATTCTGAATGGAAAGTGTTAGCTTGTGTAGCTGAAGGTGAATCTAACTGCTTATTTCATTGGTTGACTGAAACTTGAACTCAAAATGCAAGTTTCAGGAGGTCTAATTTAATGAGGTTAAGATGCCAGAGCTTTGCTGGTGGGTTGTGGAAGAAGAAATCCAAGAGCATAGGGAGATGGCAGTGTTGGAGTGGATTGTCCCTATGTGACTCATTCCCTAGCTGTATTCTAGGTGAAGGCCCAACAAGAGACTCCCTTTACTGAGGCATTAAAAAATACATTTGTCAGGGGAGCACCTGTGTCTTTGACAAGTTCTGTAGTTATTCCCTTTGGTAGGCTGGACTGCAGAAGATTCCAGCTTTAAGATGGCCCCTGATTTCAGTGGGGATGATGCTATTGCATCGTAGCAGAGGCCAAGTAGAAGCACTTAACCAGTAAAGACAAGGTGGACACATCAACCGTAAAGGGCATCAGAGACGTTTCAGTCATCAAAACACTTTGGCCTGCAGAGATCTTTGGTGGTAGTTAACTGATCTATATAACAGGAAAACTCTATGTCTGGAAGCCAAATACTTGATTTGAGTCCTAACAGTGGAGAACGGTGGCCTCGCCCTCAGTTTCCAGGCTTAAGTCAGTTCACTGACTCAGAGCCCTGTGCTTGATGAATAGGAGCCTACATTCCCTCGAAGATCTTGTAAGGACCTTGTAACACTGCTATAGGAGAACACCTTCAGCCAGGCGAGGTGGCTCACTGCCTGTAATCCCAGCACACTGGGAGGCCAAGGCGGGTGGATCATGAAGTCAGGAGATTGAGACCATCCTGGCCAACATCGTGAAACCCTGTCTCTTCTAAAAATACAAAACTAGCCAGATGTGGTGGCATGTGCCTGTAGTCCCAGCTACTCAGAAGGCCGGGCAGGAGGATTGCTTGAACCCGGCAGGCAGAGTTTGCAGTGAGCGGAGATCGTGCCATGCACCACTGTACTCCAGCCTGGGTGACAGAGGAAGACTCCATTAAAAAAGAAAGAGAGAGAGAGAAGAAAGAAACAACGAACGAATGAAATAATGAAAGAAAGAAAACACCTTCATCTTCTTCTAAGCATTCTGGACAGACATAGTGGCTCACACCTGTAATCCCAGCATTTTGGGAGGCTGATGTGGGATGATCACTTGAACTCAGAAGTTCGAGACCAGCCTGCGCAAATAGCGAGGCCTCATCTTTACAAAAACAATAAACAAAAAATTAGCAGGTGTGATGGTGCGTGCCTGTAGTCCCAGCTACTTGAAAGGGCAAGGTGGGTGGAGAGCTTGACTCTAAGAGATCAAGGCTGCAGTGGGCTGAGATTGTACCACTGCACTCCAGCCTGGGCAATAGAACAAAACTCTGTCTCAAAACAAACAAACAAAACAAAAAACACCAACAACTACAAAACACATCTTCTAAGCATGTTCTTTTTCTTATTTATTTCCCTCCCTCCCTCCCTCCCTCTTTCCCTTCTAAGCATTTTCTAAAGGAATCTACAGTCACTTACTAGAGTGACTGTGCTTGCAAAAAAGGAAATACCCAGACCTTTTGAGGATTATTAGATACTCGTTCTGAATTGATGCCAATTCTGGGGATTCAAAATGAAATTCTAAGTAGGGTATACGGGAGCTGGCACAGTGGCTCACACACCTGTAATCCCAGTGACTCAGAAGGCTCAGGCAGGGGATCCCTTGAGGCCAGGAGTTTGGGACTAGCCTGAGCAACATGGCAAAACCCCCAGCTCTAAAACAATCTAAAAACAGCTCCAGTGATAGCACGAGCCTGTTGTCCCAGTTACTTGGGAGGCTGAGGTGAGAGGATCACTTGAGTCCAGGAGATCAAGGCTGCAGTGAGCTATGATCGCACGACTGCACTTCAGCCTGGGTGACAGAGTGAGATCCTGATCCTTAAAAAACCAAACAAATAAAGATATATGGTGGTCAAGTGATAGGTGGACTCTCAATTCCAGTCAGACTCACAACAGGCAGGCCCAGTTGGGCAGTTAACTCACCATATGGTTATTTCCCAGGTTCCTGAATGTGAAATTATAATAGACATATTTGGCAATGGCTCTGATCCATGGGATCGTGTGTGTGTGTGTGTGTGTGTGTGTGTGCGTGTGTGTCTGAGATGGAGTCTTGCTCTGTTGCCCAGGCTGAAGTACAGTGGCATGATCTTGGCTCACTGCACCCTCTGCCTCCCAGGTTCAAGCAATTCTCCTGCCTCAGGTGTCCCAAGAAACTGGGATTACAGGCACTCAGCACCATGCCAGGGTAATTTTTGTAATTTTAATAGAAACAGGATTTCACCAGGCTCGGTCTCAAACTTCCTAACCTCATGATCTGCCTGTCCTCAGCCTCCCAAAGTACTGGGATTACAGGTGTGAGCTACCAGAGCTGGCCTCCATGGGATCATTACGGTAGACAGAGCTAAATGGAAGCCTGTGGAACTTCTGCCCCTTCAAGATGGTAAATCAGAAAACAGCACCACATTGCTGGGGAAAATGCATGAGATCAATGCTCCAATTAAAGACTTGAAAGAAGCAGGGGAGGGGTGGTGATAACTATCCTTTTCCATTTAATTTACCAGTGTGGCCTATGCAGAAGTCATGTGGATCTCAGGAAATGACTCTGGATGTTTATAAACAATCTGGTGGCAACTCTAAGTGCAACTGCTGTCCCAGATGTAGTCTCTTTACTGTAGTATATTTTACTGATCTATGAATCATCTAAAAGTTGTGTGTTTTTGAAGTTTATAAACATAGGGAGCTCTAAACATACCTTTAAACATGGATTTCTAACTTAATTGCATTGTGATACAAGCATGCGGTCTTGCATGATAGTAGTTCTTTACAATTTGTTAAGACTTATGGCTGGGCACAGTGGCTCACGCCTGTAATCCCAGCATTCTGGGAGGCCGAGGCAGGCAGATCACCTGAGGTCAAGAGTTTGAGACGAGGCTAACCAACATGGAGAAGCCCCATCTCTACTAAAAATGCAAAATTAGCCAGGCGTAGTGGCGCATGCCTGTAATCCCAGCTACTCGGGAGGCTGAGGCAGTAGAATGGCTTGCACTTGGGAGGTAGAGGTTGCTGTGAGCTGAGATCGCACCATTGCACTCCAGGCTGGGCAATAGCAGTGAAATTCCATCTCAAAAAAAAAAAAAAGCCTGGCATGGTGGTTTACACCTGTAATCCCAGCACTTTGGGAGGGTGAGGTGGGTAGATCACCTGAGGTCAGGAGTTCCAGACCAGCCTGGCCAACATGGCGAGACTCTGTCTTTATTAAAATTACAAAATTAGCTGGGTGAGGTGGCAGGAATCGCTTGAACCCAAGAGGTGGAGGTTGCAGTGAGCTGAGATTGCACCATTGCATGCCAGCTTGGGCTACAAGAGAGAAACTCCATTTTACACACACACATACACACACACACACACACATACACACACACACACATACTTATTTATGTCCTGTGTATGTAATCAGTTTTTGCTGTTTCTATAAATGTCTTACATGTACTTGACAGTAATATGAATTATCTAATTAATGTATGTTAGATTGCTAATTTATGGCATGCCAATATTTCTTAATAAATTTGTTTGGTTGATCTAAAATTACTGAGAGATATGTACTAAGTTCTATGCTAAGATTGTATCCTTGGTGAATGGATACAATCCATTTTTTTTTTCCTAGCTAGGACTTCCATGTGATGGACAATAAACAGGAGATGGGCCAGGTGTTGTGGCTCACTGCCTGTAGTCTCAACACTTTGGGAAGCCAAGGTGGGTGAATCACCTGAGGTCAGAAGTTTGAGACTAGCCTGGCCAACATGGTGAAACCCATCTCCACTATACAAAATACAAAATTTAGCCAGGCATGGTGGCGAGTGCCTGTAGTCCCAGCTACTCAGGAGGCTGAGGGGCCATACAAGCCCTAGACTCAGCCAGAGCAGGGCGGAGGACAGAGACAACAGAATGACCAGCTGCAGAGAGAAGCTACCCTCTCTGCTGAGACCTTCAGAGGCCTGTGGAGACATCTGAATGACCTGCCTGTGGAGAGGAGCCACTCTCTCCAAGGCCTCCTCTCTGCTGAGGGCAGCATATGACCATGGGCAGAAAGGAGCTACCCTCTCCAGGGCCTTCTTTGCCGAGAGCTGAGCACTCAACAGAACAATGTGTCTACAGAGAGGAGCTACCCACTGTTGGTCTCCTCTGAGCTGTTAAATAAATAAAGCTCCTCTTGATCTTCTTCACCCTTCACTAGTCTGTGTACCTGGTAGCAGGAACCCAGGCAAAGGATCCAAAGGCGCCACCAACCAAAAAGGTTTCCAGGAAGAAAATCGACACCCCAAATATGCTGTAACATCATGACATTTCTTTAGAGATGGGGTTTCACCACATTGGCCAGACTGGTCTCAAACTCCTGATCTTGTGATCTGCCCGCCTTGGCCTCCCAGAGTGCTGGGATTACAGGTGTGAGCCACTGCACCTGGCCCAACATCATGACATTTCACCTAATAGTCTTGAGTACTTGTCTTATGAAATTAAAGACATCTACTTAACCACTATGTTGTATCACTAAAAATAACAATAATTCCTTATACTATCTAATACAGTCTATGTTCACATTTCTCCAGTTGTCTAAAAGGTGTGTAAGGATTTGGGTAAATCTAAGCCAGAGCTGACTGTATACTGGTTATTAGTTCAAGTCACCTCCCATGTCAAAGGATGGATTAGTTGGGGTTATGGTCTTTGAGGCCGGATACTTCCTCTAAGAACCATGAAGACCATATTCCCTTGTCTTCTAATTTCTATAGTAGCTGTTGAGAAGTTTGCCATCTGTCCATGAATTGTTGCTTTGTAGGAAACATGTTTGCTTTCTCATTTTTTAACCCAACCTCCATCTTTGAGTCCTTCAGTTTCTCTATGTGCCCAGGTGAGAATCTAGTGTATCTTGGGACTCATTTCCTGAAACTAAGAATTATTGTCCAATGTCAGTTCTGGAAGATGATGAGTCCTGATCTCTTCTTCTTATCTCCTTATCTCTTCTAAGAGCCTAGAATAGTGCCTGACACATATTAGGTGCTTCTAAACAGCTGAAACATTCTGTAAATATGCATTTTCTTCACTCATCCTCTTTCTGTTCTCTCCTGCTCAAACTTTTTCAGATACATATTGGAATATCTTATGCTATCCAACATGCCTCGTCATCTCTTTCACACACTTTTCATCTCTGTGTCTTTCTATGCTACATTTTAGATAATTTTGTCAGATTTATCTTCTAGTATCCATCTCTGTCCGCAGTGAGTTCTTTTCTTTTTTAAGGGGCAGGCAAGGTCTCACTCTGTAACGTAGGCTGGAGTGCAGTGGCACAATCACGGCTCATCACAGCCTTGAACTCCCATGCTCAAGCGACCCTCCCACCACAGCCTTCCAAGTAGCTGCAACTACAGGCACACACCAACACATCCAGCTAATTTTTAAATTTTTTGTAGAAACAAAGTCTTGCTACATTGCCCAGACTGGTCTCAAACTCCCAGGCTCAAGTGATCCTTCTGCCTTGGCCTTTCAAAGTACTGGGATTACAGGCTGGTATCCTTGGTGAATGGTTTATCTCTATTCTTTTTTTTTTCTACATAGGGCTTCCATGTGATGGACAATAAACAACAGATAGGCTGGGTACAGTGGCTCATGTCTGTAATTCCAGCACTTTGGGAGGCCAAGGTGAGTGGATCGCCTGAGGTCAGGAGTTTGAGACCAGCCTGGCCAACATGGTGAAACCCCGTCTCTACTAAAAATACAAAAATTAGCCAGGCATGGTGGTGGGTGCTTGTAATCCCAACTTCTCAGGAGGCTGAGGGTCTGTAAAAGCCCTAGACTCAGCCAGAGCAGGGCAGAGGGCAGAAGACAGAGAGACAACAGAATGACCAGCTGCAGAGAGGAGCTACCCTTTCTGCTGAGACCTTCAGAAGCCAGTGGAGATGTCTGAATGACCTGCTTCTCCCCAGGGCCTCCTGTCTGTTGAAGAGAGAAAGAGTGGCTAAACCACTGCATCTAGCCTCTCTGCTTCTTCTAATCATCTGCTTAATCCATTCACTGTTTATAATAATAATTTTGAAAACGATACCTAATTTTCCAATAGCATTTGTTTATTTCTCTTTTGATTCCTTGTTTTATGACTTCAATGACTTTTAACATACAGTCTGAATCTTGTAATTTCATTATCTGAAGTGCTTATGGGTCTAATCCTGTGTCGTTTGTAGTGTAAGCAACATCTAATTTATTGTGGATTATTTCTTTGTGAATTTTCTAGTTTTTAATTATAAGTTCATATTAATCTTGAGACAGACCTTCATAGACTATTATATGGATTCGATTAATTAATTCATATAAAGGTGTTAGGCCCGGGGGAAATAAAGTCACACTGGAAAGACTTTACGGGCATGGTGGCTCATGCCTGTAATTCCAGCCACTCAGGAGGCCGAATAGCAGGAGGATTACTTGAGGCCAGGAGTTTGAGACAAGCCCGGTCAACAAGCAAGACCCCATCTCTACATAAAAATAAAAATTAAAAAATTAGTCTAGTGTGGTGTCACATGCCTGTAGTCCCAGCTACTCAGGAAGCTGAAGTGGGAGGATTGCTTGAGCCCAAGAGGTCAAGGCTGCAGTGAGCCGTGATGGTGCCACTACACTCCAGCCTGGGCAACAGAGCAATATTCTGTCTCTACAAAAGAACAAAACCAAATGCTATCTCATATGCCAGGCACTTTACTCATATTATCTTTTCCCTTTGTAACAACTGCAAAGGGAGTGATAGTCCATTTCACAGGCAAAAGGATCATTAATTTACAGTTAATTGAGAAACCCCAGTTAAAACCCAGGTCTAAGCGATTGTAAATTTCACACTTTCAAATGCATCCCATTGTATCTCAGAATTATTATTGGGAAAAAACATCATTTGGATCTCATAAGTATTTTTTCTCAGTTTTAATTTTAAAGCAGATCAATTACCCCTATGTCTCACAAAATGTGTTAAATAATTAATGGAAAGGGGAAAACAATGCCTTTAAAGTAGAGAAAGGTTAGTTCTCTATTTTCTTTTATTTTTCCAATTTTGGATTTTGTTTATGTACAAAAAAAGGAATTAACAAGAAGCTTACTTATGAGAAACCCCTAGGGCTTCCAGAATTGAATAAAAATGTGTCTGAGTTTTGCATTCCAAATACAACAAAGCGAATCAGTGTAATTTTAGTCCCTTAATAAGGAGTTTGCAAATGTAGCCTCAACATAAACAGTTTTACACCAGCAAACCAAGAAACTTGAAAGCCCATTGGTGGCAATACATTTCAGTAGTCAATCCTCTGTTACCCAGGCCCAAACAGGCTGCCAGATGTGCCCACCCTCAATGTCAGGTTCTAGGCAGCCCTGCCTCCACCCGTGGAGCTTTCCCAAGGATCATCTTCCAGGGACCAGCCAGGGATGCTCAGGAATTGCAAACTGTTTTAAATATCATCAGCATAAATTGCATCTGGTATGTGGAGTTAGGGGATCCGATTTTAACAAGATAGATTCAATTTATTATTTTAAACATATGTTATGAATGTATTTAAGTACTACTTTGGGTCTCTTGATTTAATCAATTTTCCACAAAAAAGTGACCGCTTGTTCATTATTTGATATAAATTTAACATATGGTCTTCACATCTCAGATTTGGCTTTAAGCTACATTTTATTATATGAAATTAAAAACATTTTTTTGCGTCTTCATCTCACTCTGTCACCCAGGCTGAAGTGCAGTGGTATGAACACATTTCATGCAGCCTCAACTTCTTGGGCTCAAGGGATCCTCCTGCCTCAGCCTCCCAAGTAGCAGGGACTGCACCATCATGCTCAGCTATTTTTTAAATTATTATTATTTTTTGTAGAGATAAGGTTGCACCATGTTGTCTAGGCTGGTCTCAAACTCCTGGCCTCAAGTGATCTTCCCACTTCAGCCTCCCAAAGTGCTAAGATTAGAGGTATAAGCCACCATGCCAAGCCTTAAAACATTTTTAATAACATTAAATAATTAAAATTACTCATTATCTTTGCCAATATATCCAAATGTGGGAAGATTATTTGTTCATCTATTTAGAAAAAAACAGATGATGCAAATAATTGCAGTCATTGGGAAATTAACTCCCTCAAACTAATTGGTCAGTTTTGCATTTTAGCTGTGAATTTATTTTTATATGACTCTGTGAGAAGCCCAGCCATCTTACAAAAAAAGTTGACGTTATAAAAGCATTTTTTTCTGAAACAGCCACTGTGTATGAACTTTGCAAAACAAATTAAGTGACTTTAATACTATGACAGCAATACAAGTAAAATATTTTTAAAATTCAGTGTTATTACTTCACTTTTATGAATAATCACGTTTATTATTTTATGAAGAATAACTTTTGCTTCCTATTTAGTTAGCTTTCTCCAAACATAAGCTTTCTTTTTTTTTCTTTTTTCCTTTTTCAGTTTCCACATGCTACAGTGTGAACTTTTCCATATGAAAACGTTTTTTCCACACCTGCTATGATAAAACCTCTGGCTGCTGCATGAGAGTGTCCCTCCCAGATGCTTGTGGCCTGTGCAAGACTGGGTTGGATGCCCTCATGCTTGTCTGCACAAGCCAGTGCAAGGGTCTCTCTGAGCTCTGAAGGCAGGGTCAGGACTGTCACACATGCTTAGTTGCACTTAGCACTGCAGGGGCTCTCCAGGGGGCAGCACCTAATATATATTCACAAGTGTAGCCCACGGGCTCCTGACCAATGCTGGGTATTTCCTATCTTTCTAATTTTGATCTAACTGGTATAAAGTAGCTATCTTACCAACATGAGTTTTTCATTTCAATTATTGTATTTATCATTTCTAGCAGCTCTTTTTTCTAGGTTCCTTCAAAACTGCCATATCACTTTTCACTTTTTCTTCTTTCCTATTTCTTTGAAATAATAAAATTAGAGTTTTTGTAATACGTATCAGACAGTTGTAGTATTTAATTCAAGTTTTTATTTTTTGATACAGAGTCTCACTCTGTCATTCAGGCTGGAATGCAGTGGCACAATCTCGGCTCACTGCCAACCTTCACCTCCCAGATTCAAGTGAAGTGATTCTCCTGCCTCCTGAGTAGCTGGGATTACAGGCATGCACCATCACACTTGGCTAATTTTTTGTTGTTGTTGTTGGTATTCTTAGTAGAGAATGGGTTTCACAATGTTGGACAGGCTGGTCTTGAATTCCCAACCTCAGGTGATCTGCCTGCCTTGGCTTCCCAAAGTCCTGGGATTACAGACATAAGCCACCTCACCCAGCCAGATAGTTGTAACATTTAAAGTCTTTACATGAAGCTGCCACGAGACCGTAGAGCACCTTTACACAAATTAGAACAAGTGGCCTTTTTTCTTTTGGAGGCAGGATCTTGTTCTGTCTCCCAGGCTGGAATACAGTGGCGCAATCACAGCTCACTGCTGCCTCAACCTCCCTGGGCTCAAGCAATCCTCCTACCTCAGCCCTACAAGTAGCTGGCACACACCAGCATGCCTGGCTAATTTTTTTTAACTTTTCTTGTAGAGACAGGGTCTTACTATGTTGCATAGGCTGGTCTTGAACTCCTTGCTTCAAATGATCCTCTCACCTCAGCCTCCCAAAGTGCTGGCATTATAGGCATAAGCCACCACCTCTGCAAAAGTTATAATATTATTATGTCACAAAACCAGATCAGCTCTGCCAGGCAGAACTTTTCAGCATGGTGGTGGCACAAAAATGCACCCACACTCTCACCACTCATGCAGTCTCTGGGTCCTGGGACACATAGCTGTTGGTGGCCACATACTCTATGACATCCCTGCCCCCAGGTGTTAGATTTAGAGTCCTACAGCTACAGAAATTGGACTTCTAGGGCACTGACCTGAAGCCTAATTTCCTTGTGTCTCTAGTTATCTTTGACTATATGCTGGTCATTATATTTGAAACATTATTTGTGGGAATAATTTAAGGGCTAAGATGAAGGTGATTTCCTCTGTAGAGAATTTGTGTTTGCATCTGCTAGGAGCTTGGGAGCACTGTCAGTCTTGGGCTATCCAAAGTCAAGGCTTGGGAGTCCCCTGGATAATACAGGCAAAAAGAGCCAGGCTGTAATTCTGGCAGGTTGGTTCACTTCTAGTTCACTGGGGAAAAGGGTATGTCCTGATAGATTTCCCACCTAGGATGGCGCTGGGCTGTGAGACAGATTCTTTCATTGAAAGAGGCCATTGGGCTGGACGCAGTGGTTCTCAGCAATTTGGGAGGCCAAAGCAGAAGGATTGCTTGAGGCCAGGAGGTCAAGACTAGCCTGGGCAGCATAGTGAGACATTTTCTCTACAAAAAGAAAATAAAAGAAGAAAGAGAGAGAGAGGAAGAAAGAAAAAGGAAGGAAGGGAGGGAGGGAGGGAGGGAAAAACATATCAAAAGAAGCTCGACCCTCCACCCTCCCCTGGTGGGCAAAGTACCCTGGAGAGAGAACAGCCTCTGGACTCCTCTCTCCTTTGGTTCCTGTTTCCTACAGAGTGATGCTGTTTCACCTTGTCAGTTATTTGCAGAAGATGTTTTCGGTATTTTTTTTTTTTTTGAGATGGAGTCTTGTTCTGTTGCCCAGACTGGAGTGCAGTGATGCGATCTTGGCTCACAGCAACCTCTGCCTCCCGGGTTCAAGCAATTCTCCTGTCTCAGCCTCCCAAGTAGCTGGGATTGCAGGTGCCCACCACAATGCTTGGCTGATTTTTGTATTTTTAGTAGAGACAGAGTTTCATCATGTTGTCCAGGCTGGTCTCGAACTCCTGACCTCATGTGATCTGCCCACCTTGGTTTCCCAAAGTACTGGGATTACTGGTGTGAGCCACCATGCCTGGCCTGTTTTCAGTATTTTATTCAACTTATTTAGTTGTTTTTAGCTGGAGGGTTGCTTGAGAGAGTTATATTCCCATTACCAGAAAAAGAAAGTCCTGTTGTTTTAATTTAATTTATTTGATTAGTGGTAAATCCTAGCGTCTTTTCTTATATTGGTTCAAACTTCCTCTTCAGTGAAATGCCTACTCATTCCCTGTGACCTTTACTCTTATAGTCTCCTGGCTTTCTCTTGTTGATTTGTGGATGTTCCTTAAATACTCTAGATACTAATTCCGTGTTAATTTTACATGTTATATCTTTTCCTAGTTTATTATCCATCCAATACTTTTATGATGTCTTTTACTTGATAGAAATCCTTAATTGTGACACAGGCAAGTTCAACATATTATTCTCCTCTAGAAGGTTTGCAATTTGTTGACGTCTTCCTTGTTAATTGTCATTCAAACAAAGCCAGTTTTTCCAGCGTCATTCGACCTGAATAAAGTAGAGGGATACTGGTCTCCCTCTTTTGTTCACTGAGCCTGTATTCTCAGTCTAAGTCTGCAGAGTTGGTGACCTTATCACACGGCTGCTTCATTCATTAGCTTGCAATAAAAACCATAAGTTTCTCACATGTATTGCTGTTAAATCATTCTACCCCCTCATCATGTGCTTATGAAGCTAAGTTTTAGACAGAAAGGCAGAATACAGATCTCTATTATTCTTCATTTTCGTTCAGTCCACCATTCCAGGCTGCAAAGTTATTTTTGGACCCTGATTTTGTCATCCAGTACTTTGGCTGCCCCAGTTTTTTGCCACCTGAAACTTTGATAAATATGTCATCCATTTCCATGTCCAAGTAGCTGAGAGAATGCTGAACACGAGAGGACTAGGGCCAGAGCCCTGGACCATGCCCTCAGAGTCCTCTTTCAGGCAGATATTGATGAATTAATGACAGCATTCCTCCAAAATTTATTGAGAAGAATCTAAGTGGCTGGCCCTAGGCTAAATGCTGGAAATACAAAGGTGGTGAATGAAAGAATTCTCCACTCTCGAAGGGTTCATATTCTAATGGAGAAGACAGAGGTAATTATATATATGATATAGACCCGGTATAGTAGCACGCACCTGTAATCCCAGCTACTTGGGAGGCTGAGGCAGAAGAATCACTTGAACCCGGGAGGTAGAGGTTGCATTGAGCCGAGATCGTGCCACTGCACTCCAGCCTGGGTGACAGAACAACTCTCTGTCACTCCCACAAAAAAAATTATATATAAGATATAAATCACAACACATACTTGTGAGTGCTTTTGTTTACAAACCACTCTTTTATAGATTATATCTCTTTTTTTTTTAGATGAAGTCTTACTTTGTCACCCAGGCTAGAGTACAATGGCACGATCTCAGCTCACTGCAGCCTCTACCTCCCAGGTTCTGGCAATTCTCCCCCCTCAGCCTCCCAAGTAACTGAGACTACAAATGTGTGCCACCATGCCTGGCTAATTTGTTGTGATTTTAGTAGAGATGGGGTTTCATCATATTGGCCAGGCTGTCGCAAACTCCTAACCTCAAGTGATCCGCTTGCCTGACCTTCCAAAGTGCTGAGATTACAGACGTTAGCCACCACCCCTGGCCGGATTATCTCTTTTGAGTCCTCTTTAGGACAGGCAGGAATAAAGTCACTTAGCCACACCCACATTTCCACATTCTTCTTAGGGTTATTACTAGGAAATGAATCGAACGCTTTGCTGAAATTTGGGTGCACCATGTCTCTAGTACTAGCAGAAGTATTTCAAATGTGAAGGAGATCAGTCCAGTGTGAATTGCTCTGGTGTGAATGCAGGAGCTCCCTTTTATAACTGCATATTATTTGTTCATCATTTATCGCCAGATTCCTTCCTCAAAGGTCTCCAACGCAAATTATCTCACTCTTCAGGACCAGGATGGTCAAGAAGATGCTCTTAGGGTCCTGTTTATCCAAGGTGGCTGTTTACCCTTTCTACCCAGAAATTCAGGGGAGCCTGGTAAAGCCCTCTTCTAGGTCCCAGGACTGACTTCCCCAGTGGGAGGTAAAAAGCAGAAGGCAGTGTTCCTCCAACTGGGGAGTCCTGTCCCATAAATGAATTATGAAATGAACTTAGTAGGCCGTGACAAGCACGTCTTTCTAAAAATAGAATGAATAGAATAGAAAATATTAGCAAGCTCTGTAATGTTAAATTAAATTTGGTCTACAGCTGCCTACAAGTAGCAAAGTGCAACTTAACTTAGTGTGTAAACAAACTGTAACCTAACTTCTTCTAACAAATAGCTGTCTCGGCCAATCCCAGCAGCTAAGCTTCAGTCAGTCACAGGCTGCCAACTGAATAGATCACGTCTGCGTAGGGCAAACACCAATCTGTAACCAATCAATCTGTTTCTGTATGTCACTTCCTTTTCTGTCTATAAATACTGCCTGTCCATTGCGGGGTAGAGTTCTGTGAACCTTTCCTATTTCTAAGTGCTTCTCAGTTCATGAATTTTTTTTTTGAGACAGGGTCTCACTTTCGCCCAGGCTGTGTGCAATGGTATGATCATAGCTCACTGTAGCCTGGAACTCATGGGCTCAAGTGACCCTCCTGCCTCAGCCTCCCAAGTAGCTGAGATCACAGGCATGCACTGCCATGCTGGTGTGCCTAATTTTTTTTTTGGAAACAGGGTTTCACTATATTGCCCAGATTGGTCTCAAACTCCTGGGTTCAAGTGATCCTCCCAGCTCAGCCTCCCAAAGTGTTGGATTGCAGGCATTAGCCACCACACCCAATATGAATCATTATTTGTTCAAATAAACTTGGCTAAATTTTATCAACAAGGTTCTTCTTTTAATAATAAGTAGTAAGGGTGCATACATTTTATTTTATTTTTGGAAAAAAATGTAGGTTATTTATTTTAAGCATATAAACATGACCCTTTCTTAAAAGGTGCTACAGTAATAGTAATCTATTTTTTATGTGGAAAGTGTTTGTGAATATAGAACAAATTTATGCAAAATAAGATGTAAATTATTCTTCTAGATGTAAAGGGATGAATATTTTTAAAAGTACACAGTTATGACATACTACCCACTCTATCAAGCAGACCTAGAGGGATTCTGGAAGGCAGAGCTTTCAGCAACCCAAAAAAATTAGTCAGTATTATTACACAGAATTAGAAATTGCTGTGATTTTTTATTCCATTTGACATCTTGATTAGAATGAAACTAGTAAGAATGAAGCTTTACAAACGTTGCAATATTACTGTATCATTGTGACATGGCTTTACGTTGATTACATGTAGAGAACGAAATCACATTAGAATTAAGGCAATAACAATATGTGCAAACCAAGCACATTACCCTGATATGGTCCCTGATAGAAAGCTCTTTTGGTTAGCTGAGGTTGATATTGCTGCATGCAGGTCATTGCTCTGAAGGAGAAGCTATGAATAGCTTCATTTATGAAAAGCTCTGGCCCACAATAGCCAGAAGAAGTGTCCGGTAATCTCCACTCGTGTCACCTGCAATCATTGTGCCCAGGGTCTTCTGATACATCTGAGGGAACATTTGTTTTATTTGTACAAGATCAATCTCACCTCGAGTGACCACAGTCCTGACCAGGGTGGAGTCATCTGTGCCAGCACCTTTCATAGTGTAGTAGAGCCTCTCAGCAAAGAAGGCAGGGCGGTTCAGGGCACGCTGCAAGATGGTCTTCAAACCACTTTCCACATATCTGGAAAACTCAAGGCTCACACTGCTTAACAAATCTTGATTAGCCATCCTGGAATAAGCCTCCATGGTAGCTCTCAGCTCTCACCTTAAAGCTTCTCGTGGCAAGGATCATGTTAAAGCAAGATTCATCGGTCCCTAGTCTCCCCTCGCTAGCTTGATAGAGACGCTGAGCATCTTCCTGAGCCATTTGGTGGTTTACACTCTGGTTTTCATCATGATTTCCCTGGCACATGGACATAAGTAAGCGATCAAAATGTCCTTGATGTATCTGACCTAATGTCCTTTTCAAGGTCCCGTCCAAATTCTGACTGATAACATCTGACAGTTTCTCGGATTTCCTGATTTGTTCGGGTGCACAAAATTTCAATCAATACACGTTCCTGAGTTCCTGCTCCCTGTATCGCTTTCCGTAAGCTCCAGGCATCGTAATACGTAAGAGGCATGAATAGGGCCAGGATCAGTTCTTCCATATTTCCACTTAACTCTGATTTGAGATCTTTGATTAAATCCTTGCCATATGAGGTCTTAAATGCTGCTTTAACTTTTTGCCTCCGATTATTGGAACGGTTGGCCACTACATCCACAATTGCCTGTTCGTCTGTCCCAAAACCCTTCATTGCCTTACGGAGAATTTCTGCATCTCTCATAGCATTGAAGTGGGCAGCTGGTTGGATAGTTCCTTGAGTGCCGTGAGTCATTGCAGCAGGCTGATTAGGGTAAGTAGGCTGTCCTCCAGGATACTGAGAAGGCATCTGTCCTCCAGGAAAGCCACCAGGCAGTGGGACCTGTGCTGGACCACCTCCATAAGACTGTGAAGGTGGCTGTGGATAGCCAGAAAAGCCTGCTCCACCTGGTGGAACTCCAAATCCATGGCCTGGAGGAACTCCAGGATAGGATGGAGCTCCCCCTGGCTGTGGGGCACCAGGATAGCCTCCAGGGGCTGGATAACCTCCAGGCGCAGGGTAGCCTCCAGCTCCTGGATAGCCACCACTTGGCACTTGTGGGTAGGCACCTCCCCCCATTGGAGGAAAGCCACAAGGATAAGGATACTGACCAGAAGGGGGAAAAGATGACCCCTGACCTGCAGGAGGATACCCAGGGAAAGGTAGGTAGCCTGTTGGGGGATAGCCTGGGTATGACATTCTGACCCGGGCAGCAGCATCACAGCCAAACCTGGTCGTCTGCCGGGTACATACGTTTAAAATTTTCCCTTTCAGTTATCAATTATATGTATGTGTGCTGGCTTAGAATCTAAAATATCTTTTTTTTTTTTTTTGAGACAGAGTCTCACTCTGTCACCCAGGCTGGAGTGCAGTGGTAAATCTTGGCTCACTGCAACCTCTACATCCCAGGTTCAAGCGAGTCTCCTGCCTCAGCCTCCCGAGTAGCTGGGATTACAGGCATTTGCCACCCACTCAATTCATTTCTGCATTTTTTATTGCATTTTAGGTTTTGGGGTACATGTGAAGAACATGCAAGATTGTTGCACAGGTACACACATGGCAGTGTGATTTTCTGTCTTCCTCCCCATCACCTATATCTGGCATTTCTCCCCATGCTATCTCTCCCCAACTCCCCACCCCCCACTGTCCCTCCCCTATTTCCCCCCAACAGACCCCAGTGTGTGCAGCTCCCCTCCCTGTGTCCATGTGTTCTCACTGTTCAACACCCACCTATGAGTGAGAACATGCTGGTATTTGATTTTCTGTTCTTGTGTCAGTTTGCTGAGAATGACTGTTTCCAGTTCATCCATAGTCCCTACAAAGGACACGAACTCATCGTTTTTGATGGCTGCATAGTATTCCATGGTATATATGTGCCACATTTTCCCTGTCCAGTCTATCATCGATGGGCATTTGGGTTGGTTCCAGGTCTTTGCTATTGTAAACATGTGCTGCAATGACCATTCATGTGTATGTGTCCTTATAGTAGAACGATTTATACTCCTTTGGATATATACCCAGCATTTTTGTATTTTTAGGAGAGACAAGGTTTTGCCATATTGGCCAGGCTGGTCTCGAACTCATGACTTCAGGTGATCCGCCTGCCTCTGCCTCCCAAAATGCTGGAATTACAGGCATGAGCCACCAGGCCTGGTCTAAAATATATTTCTTACTGTGGGTCCTAATCAAAGAAGCTTACAAGCAGGTTGGGCATGGTGGCTTACACCTGTAATCCCAGCACTTTGGGAGGCTGAGGCAGGTGGATTACCTGAGGTCAGACTTCAAGACCAGCCTAACCAACATGGTGAAACCCCTTCTCAAATAAATACAAAAAATTAGCCAGGAGTGGTGGCACATGCCTGTAATCCCAGCTACTTGGGACGCTGAGGCAGGAGAATTGCTTGAACCCAGGAGATGGAGGTTGCAGTAAGCCGAGATTGCACCATTGCACCACAGCCTGGCTAACAGGAGCAAAACTCTGTCTCAAAAAACAAACAAGGTTTGAAAGCAACTGACATAGTGACTAAATTTGTACCCTTTTGAGTCAGCTGGAACTGGGCTCAGCTATGTGGCTTTGGGCAAATAACTTAACTTCTCCAAGAGAATTTCCTCACCAATAAAGCAAGATTGTAATATCCATCTCCTTAGATTGTTATATGAAGATTAAATAAGTGCAAATTGCTTAGTGGAGCACCGGGAATGTAATGTGTTCAGAAGATGTGGTGATTATTTTCTAGCTTTAAAGATATGCACACATGGCCTTGTTTCTTTCTCATTCCCAGCTCTATTAATTTCACTTCCTACTTTCTATTTTCAGCCATTTGGAGAAGTAAGTCTGCGGCTCTCTAGCAATCCTGGATTTTATGGATATTATCTCCCCCATCTCAGAGGGTTTCAAGGCCCATAAACCTGCTCCTCCCACAGCTTGCGGTTCCGGGGGTGGATGAACTGCTCTGTGTCCCAGCCTACTCTCCGCTGTTGAGGATCGGTGTCCCGGGATCTTTGGTTACGGAGGGTACAGGTGAGGGTTTTGTTTTTAAACCGGGCTTTCTCCTTCCTTTTCCTCTGAGGAAAGGAAACCTTTTTCCTGCCTGTCTGCCCAACATTGCAAGCTCTTCCTCACTTTCCCTCACAGGTCTGCACTCTCCTGCTGAGCCCAGCATATTTCCTTTCCTTCTTCCCTGTGCCCGTTCCTTGGCCACAGGGTTGAGGTATGCTCATGCCCCTGCCCCTCCCTTCCCTCCACCTCCATTCTGGCATGTTGGCCTCACTGTTCTCAGACTGGGGTGCTAGGGCAATTTGCTCTTTGTTTGCAGGGGAGCTGTCCAGCTGTAATGCCCTTCCCTGGGCTGGGCTGCTCCAAACTTGGGCTCCAGCCAAGGTCCAGGAAGGAGAGGGGGTTAGGGGATGGAGACTGTGGACCCCACCTCCTCCTGGGAATGGGCACCTGGATGGCAGCTTTATGGCCATGTGAGAGCAGAGCAGACATCACTCATTCCATCCTCATTCATTCACTCACTCACAATAAGTGATGCAGATACCCAAGATGACTAAGAAATGGCCCCTGCTTCAAAAAGCTCAGTCCAGTCCCATGATGCCCTTGAGCACACCCCCTCAAAAAAGTTGTATCAAGCAGTGGGGTAGGGGGAAGTGACCTCTAAGAAGGATATAACCGTGGAAATTATCTATCTTAATGATACATGTAAATTCAACTATGTAAAAGAGTTTTATAGAGTGGGAAAAAGAATCAGAATCAAGTAAATTTGAGGGATGAAGCCAAGCGTGCTTCTAGAAAAGTCTGTTTGCATTTCAAAGGTTTCTCTCCTTTCCACAGTGGCTCGCTCATACCTATAATCTCAGCAATTTGGGAGGTCAAGGCGGGGAGGGTGACTTGAGTTCAGGAGTTCAAGACCAGCCTGGGCAACATAGGGAGACCTTATCTCCATAAAAAAGTTCAAAAATCAGCCAGGTATGGTGGCATGTGCTTGCAGTCTATTAGGGAGGCTGAGGTGAGAGAATCACTTCAGCCCAGGAGTTCAAGTTTGCAGTGAGCTATGATGGTGTCACTGCACTCCAGCCTAGGTAACAAAATGAGACCCTGTCTCTAAAAAAAAAATCAAGTTTAAATTTAAATTAAATAGGAGATTCTCTTCTTTTAAATAGTGTAGAAACCGAAACCATTCTTGTTTTTCTTTTCTGGTTACCTCTTTAGTGTCCTGTGTTGGGAGGGCAGCAGGGTGCTGGAGCTCACTTCTAGGCCACACTGACCATAACATTAAACCATGAGATGCCCACTGCTCACAGCTATGGTTATTTCCAGGACGCCACTTCCGGAAACAAGGCCTCAAGTGACTGGCTGTGGGGCATTCTTCTCCCTTCGAAAGTGTCAGATAAATATCACTTAGAAAAAACTCTGTGGGCTGGGCGAAGTGGCTCACGCCTCTAATCCCAGCTCTTTGGGAGGGCAAGGTAGGTGGATCACCTAAGTTCGGGAGTTCAAGAACAGTGTGACCAGCATGGAAAAACCCCGACTCTACTAAAGATACAAAATTAGCCAGGCATGGTGACATATGCCTGTAACCCCAGCTACTCAGGAGGCTGAGGCAGGAGAATTGCTTGAACCCGGGAGGCAGAGTTTGCAGTGAGCCAAGATGGTGCTAAGCCAAGATCACACCATTGCACTCCAGCCTGGGTAACAAGAGCGAAACTCCATCTCAAAAAAAATTTTTTTTTGCAATTGGTAAAACAGTAAGGAATGAAACAGACACTTCTCAAATACTCCAAGATTATACATGCTTTTCAGCGTAGTGTAATCCAATAAAGCTACCGGAACTAGGCTTTAATATTCAAAAAAGACTATTCAGTTAGATAGGAACTATTTGCCTACAAATATTGGCCAAAAATAGGTTAAAAATTGTTTTAAATCTGTGCTTTACAAAACATGTGGACTTTTAGAAAACATGTCAAGCAAATTTCAAAAGAAATAGACATTATGGGAAGGTCGTTGAGCAGAGCCCTAATCCTGAAAACATAACTACCAAAGATACTAGTTGTCACTTGTAACCAAAAGAAAAAAAAAAGATATTAGTAGCTAATAATTAGCAGACAATGCCCATATATATAACATTTTTTATGCCTATATATATATATATATATATTTTTTTTTTTTTTTTTTTGAGACAAAGACTCACTCAGGCTAGATGTGATCCAGGCTTATGGCAGCCTTGACCTCCTGGGCTCAGCTGATCTCCCACCTCAACCACCCAAATAGCTGGGACCAGAGGCACGAACCACCATGCCCAGCTAATTTTCTTATTTTCTATAGAGACAGGATTTTGCCATGTTGCCCAGGCTGCTCTCGAACTCCTGGGCTCAAGGGATCTACCCGCTTTGGCTTCCCAAAGTGCTGGGATTACAGGCATGAGCCACACACCTGGCCATATTTTCCATATTGTATTTACTTTTATTCTGAAACAAAATATGTTTATTTAAGAAAGGCCATCTAGCCTGGCCAAAGTGATAAACCCCGTCTCTGCTAAAAATACAAAAATTAGCCAAACATGGTTGTGTGCACCTGTAGTCCCAGCTATTTGGGAGGCTGAGGTGGGAGAATTGCTTGAGCCCAGGAAACGCAGGTTGCAATGAGCTGAGTTGGCACCACTGCCTGGGAGACAGAGCAAGACTGTCAAAAAAAAAAAAAAAGCCGAACTAGAGAGGTACAGGACGTAGAAAGTGGGCCTCTCCGGTAATTCTATCTCTGAAAACAAACCTCAGAAACAGCCGAGGCCTAGCCCATCCTCTATAGAACGCTGGTGCAGAAACCCTCTTCCAGGTGTGTATGTAACACGGGCAGACTCTGTGCTTCCATCAGATGGTTTTGAATACATCTTTCTCGTGGGAGGACAGGATGGAATGGGGTGGACAGGCCTATGCAGCACACTGCCAGCCCCCCAGCATTTCTTCAGCTGGAGTCCCCTGAAAAAGAGAAGGACAATGAAGAGGAAGAGCTGGGAGGTGGCAAGTGATTGCGGTGTCGACAATAGAGGAGGCCCTTGTGGCAAATTTATCAGCAGAGGCAATCGGGAGGCAGGGCAGCACTCACTCATCCTCCTTGACTCCAAGTGAACATCCGAAAGTCAGCCCCTCTCCATTCCCCATAATGTTAAGGGCCATGGGGAGGGCAGGGCAGGGCCAGCTGCTGACAGCTCCTGCAGGCGGACAGCATCAGCCATGCTTCTAGCACAGGGGAAGAGAGGGATGTCAGACAGCAACCACTCAGAGGAAAGCCCTCTCCCAGGGAGCCAGGCCTGTGATGCAGATGACATTGATTATTTCTTCCTACCCCTCCCCTCCAATTCACCCAGTGTCAGCCATGCATTAGGCAGAGAGGCTGGGCCAGTCCCTGTCATGGCAGAGCTGCCCCCCTAGGGCGATGATGGACACTGAACAGGTGAGATGGAGGAACAGGGGACCCAACTCATTTAGGGAGGTGTGTTCAAGGAAAGCCTTTTTGCAAGCCATATGTAAACTAAGTTCCACATACATCCCCCTTCCCCTGACCAACATCTTCCCAAAGGCAGTAACTTCATCCTGGCATCACCTGGAAACTTGGTCTATTCTGGCCAAAGCCTCCTTCCTAAGGCTTCCTTTTAGTTCTCCTTTGTTCAAGACTGAGTTTACAGCTCACTGTTCCCAAAGCACACCACCTATCTGTATGCCTGTTTAAGAAGCCCTATACAAAACAGCAAGTGTGGGCTTTTGCCATGGGGGCATCTGGACTGTGGCTTTGATGCCCAGCCTAATGTGGATGCCCCACATTCAGCTGGAAGACTGCCTCTCCTTTCCCCCTGGAAGCCTGGGGCAGGAGTTGGGTTTAGCTACAGGAGGACAAGTTCCCTGTGGAAAAAGTGGGGGTGGTTTTAGGCAGGACACACTGTTTTATGGAGAGCCACCTCAGCACTGCAGGTAACCCAGTTTCTGCGAGTCCCCAGTGCAGCCTTAAGGAACAGGCAGCTGTGCCATAGGTTTGAGTGTGCAGCAGCCAGCAGCCCTGCTGCTAGACATGGAGAATGCGGGGAGCAGAGGGTAGCTTGGGCCATTGCAAGTTTGTTCTTCTCTACTTCCTGTCCTGTGGCCTTGGCGATGCTATCCCCATCCTAGTCCCAGCCAAGCTCGTATGGCCTTTAAGCACCTACAGACCCAGAAGCAAGACACCCACTGCAATTGCTAATTCCAGAAAGGCCGTTACAAAAGCTGTGTAACAGAAGTACTGCAGTACAAGTCTCCTCCCTCCTCCACTTTCTGCCTTCCGAGCAAGGGTGTGTGCGTGGACTTGCAGGGGCAGGGGCAGGGGCCAGGAGGCTGCTAGAGCTGGGTAGGATTGGATTCTGCCTTCTACCAGGCAGCCTCACCCTCTAGCTCTAGACAGGCTTGCTGTCTGCACCCCACCACCCCCATTCTCTCCAGAGTCCACGCCACATTTCTTGCACTGACACCACCTCTAGTGAGGTGTAATCCCAAAGTACTGGGATTACAGGCATGAGCCACTGTGCCCGGCTCGTGAAAAAAGTATTTTCGGAAGAGGAATACAAGCAGGCTGTGGAGCAATCACTTGCTAGAGAAATTTCCAAGACTAAAAGAAGCCAAGTGCTAATATCCAAGACAATGAAAAAAAGGCCTCAAGGGCATTTCAGAAATCATTAGAGCAGCCCCTCCCATCACAGACCCAGAGGCCTAGGAGGAAAGACTTGTTACCTGGGCCAGGCCCAGGGTCCTGCTGCCCTGCCCAGCTTTGAGACAGAGCTGCCCACATCCCAGCTGCTCCATGTCCAGCTACGGCTCAAAGGGCACCAGATATGGCTTGGGCTGCCATTCTGGAGTGTGCAACCCGTAAGCCTTGGCAGCTCCCATGTGGCGTTAAGTCTGCATGTGCACAGACTGCGCATGAAGAAGGCTTGACAGCTTTCCCTAGATTTCAGAGAATGTATGAGAAAGGCTGGGTGCCCAAGGCAGAAGAAGCCTGCCACAGGGGAGGAGAGATGTGGAATTGGAATCCCCACACAGAGTCCCCATCAGGGCACTGCCTAGTGGAGCTGTGGGAAGGGGACTGCCATGCTCCAGACCTCAGAACTGGTAGAGCCATGGGCAGCTTGCCTCCTGAGCTGGAAAAGCTGCAGGCACTCAACTTCAACCAAGAGCACCCCCAGGGGCTGCACCCTGCAAAGCCACAAGGCCAGAGCTCCCCAGTGGAACAGGGAGTCAAAGGAGATTATTTCAAAACTTTAAGATTTAATGACTGCCCTGCTGGATTTAGGACTTGTGTGGGGTCTCCTGCCGCTTTCTTTTGGCAAATTTCTCTCTTTAAAAATGAGAGTGTTTATTTGATGCCTGTACTACCACCGTATCTGGGAAGTAAGTAACTTGTCTTTCATTTCACAGGCTCAGAGGTGGAAGAAATTCATCTCTGGGTGAGACTTTGGACTTGGGACTTTTGACTGATTGATAGTGAAACAAGTTAAGACTTTTGGGGACTATTGGGAAGGGATGATTGTATTTTGCAGTGTGAGAAGGATATGAGATTTGGAGGGTCATGGGGCAATATGACATGGTTTGGATATTTGTCCCCTCCAGCTCTCATGTTGAAATATAATCCCAAGTGTTGGAAGTGGGGACTGGTGGGAGGTGCTTGGGTCATGAGGGTGATCCCTTATGAATAGCTTGGTGCCCTCCTTGCAGTGACGAGAGAGTTCTTGCTCTGAGTTCATGTGAGATCGGGCCGGGCGCGGTGGCTCACGCCTGTAATCCCAGCACTTTGGGAAGCCGAGGCGGGTGGATCACGAGGTCAAGAGATCGAGACCATCCTGGTCAACATGGTGAAACCCTCTCTTTACCAAAAATACAAAAGATTAGCTGGGCATGATGGCGCGTGCCTGTAATCCCAGCTACTCAGGAGGCTGAGGCAGAAGAATTGCCTGAACCCAGGAGGCAGAGGTTGCGATGAGCTGAGATCGCGCCATTGCATTCCAGCCTGGGTAACGAGCACTCTGTCTCAAAAAAAAGAGTGTCTCTACAAAAAAAATTAATAAATAATAAATAAATAAATATAAATAAAAAAAGAGTGTGGCACATACTACCACTTTCTCTCACGAGCTCTCTTTCTCTTTCTCTCTCTTTTTCTTTAAATTTAAAAACAGGGTTTCACCACGTTGGTCAGGCTGGTCTTGAACTCCCGACCTCAGGTGATCCGCCCGCCTTGGCGTCCAAAGTGCTTGGATTACAGGTATGAACTACCACGTCTGGCTGCTCTCCTCTCTCACCATGTGAGACACCTGCTTCCCTTTGCCTTCTACCATGATTGCAAGCTTCCTGAGGCCTTCACAAGGAACAGATGCTGGTGTCATACTTCCTGTACAGCCTGCAGAACCATGAGCCAATGAAACTCTTTTTTTATGAATTACCCAGTGTCAGGCATTTCTTCATAGCAATGCAAATGGAGTAACACAAGGACTCTGGTGAGTATGAATACTCTTATCTGGCTTCAGCAAGATAAGAGACATTGTGCCCAATGACCAGTCCCTGGCACAGAGCCCATACTTAAAAGAGGCAGGTCATCTTGGCTAGATTTATTATATATGTTCTATTATTATTATTATTATTATTATTTTGAGAGGGAGTTTTGCTTTTGCTGTCCAGGCTGGAGTGCAATGGTGCGACCTCAGCTCACTGCAACTTCCGCCTCCCGGGTTCGAGCGACTCTCCTGCCTCATCCTCTAGAGTAGCTGGGATTACAGGCACCCACCACCACCCCCAGTTAATTTTTTGTATTTTTAATAGAGACAGGGTTTCACCACATTGGCCAGGCTGGTCCTGAACTCCTGACCTCAGGAGAACTGCCCACCTCGGCCTCCTGAAGTGCTGGGATTACAGGCGTAAGCCACCGTGCCTGATCCTGCTTTCTTTTTATTAATAGTACTTCATTATCATAACTGTGGATTTCATCTCCCAGCCTGATTATAAGTTTGTTGAAGACTCATCTTAAAACCTCTGTCTTGGTTTAGGTTCCCCAGGATGCAGACCCTGAGACAAAGGTTAGAGGACACACACTTGAATGTGTGTGTGTGGGGGGGGTGCCCACGGCAAACACCAGCAGAGGAATGGAGAAGTGACACGGGAGGGAAGGATGCCAAGAATGGAGACGTCATGGAACCAGTCACCACTGTGAGCAGTTATAGCCCTCTGGAGAGCTCAGAGAGCCAGGCTAGAGTATGCCTCAGAGTTGACCCACGCCAGCTGCCAGGCAGCAAGGGGTTTGTTGTTTTATTGATTAATTATTTTGAGACAAGGTCTTGCTCTGTCATCCAGGCTGCAGTGCAGAGGCACAATCATGGCTCACTGTAGTCTCAACTTCCTGGGCTCAGGTGATCCTCCTGCCTCAGCCTCCCAGGGAGCTGGGACTATAGGTGCATGCCACCATGCCCAGATAATTTTTTACTTTTTTTTTTCTTTCAGCTGGAGTTTCGCTCTGTTGCCCAAGCTGGAGGGAATGGCACAATCTCGGCTCACTGCAACTTCCACCTCCCAGGAACAAACCATTCTCCTGCCTCAACCTCCCAAGTAGTTGGGAGTACAGGCGTGTGCCACAATGCCCAGCTAATTCTTTGTATTTTTAGTAGAAACAGGGTTTCAACATGTTAGCCAGGCTGGTCTTGAACTCTTAACCTCAGTTGATCCGCCCTCCTTGGCCTCCCAAAGTGCTGAGATTACAAGCATGAGCCACTGCGCCCGGCCCAATTTTTTACTTTTTGTAGAGACGTGGTCTCATTATGTTTCTCAGGCTGGTCTCAAACTCCTGGGCATAAGCAATCCTCCTGCCTCAACCTCTCAAAGTGCTGGGATTACAGCAGTGAGCCACCTTGCACCCAACCTCTTTTTTTTAAGAGATAAGATCTTTTGGCCAGGCACAGTGGCTCACGCCTGTAATCCTAGCACTTTGGGAGGCTAAGGCGGGCAGATTGCCTGAGGTCAGGAGTTTGAGATCAGCCTGACCAGCATGGAGAAACCCCGTCTCTACTAAAAATACGAAACTATTGGGGCATGGTGGCACATGCCTGTAATCCCAGCTACTTGGGAGGCTGAGGCAGGAGAATCACTTGATCCTGGGAGGTGGAGGTTGCAGTCAGCTGAGATCACGCCATTGCACTGCAGCCTGGGCAACAAGAGCCATACTACATCTCAAAAAAAAAAAGAGAGACTGACACTTAAAAAAAATTCTTGCTCTATTACCTAGGCCTGAGTGTAGTGGCAGGATCATAGCTCACTGCAGCCTTGAACTCCTGGGCACAAGTGATCCTCCCACCTCAGCCTCCCGAGTCACTAGGATGACAGATGCATGCCACCATGCCCAGAAGGGTGTTTTTTCATCAACTGCTGGTCGGTCATTGCTTGAAGGCTGCTGCTTTAACTCTCTGGACCTCCGGCCTGCCCTGTGACCATGACCAGCCATCCTCCCACAGACTGAAAAAAGGCAGAGAGTTGCCCAAGAGCTCAGTAAACAGTCTTCATAGGTAGGGAGGAAAGCTGAGGGATGCAGGCAGACACCCAGGGCAACTGCTGCAACTTTCTCCCGTTCCTGTAGCCTTCCTGCCAACAGGCCACTTCGAGGACGCTGCAGTCCCCTCCCTCACAGGTGACTGTTTTTGCTGTCATCTTTCCGTGTGTTCATATAAGCATGTAGGTGTGTATTTGGACCGGGTTTCACAGTCACAAGGAATGTTCAACTGGTAAAAAGGTGAATGGGGGCTGGCCATGGTGGCTCACACCTGTAATCAATCCCAGCACTTTGGGAGACCAAGGCTGGTAGATCAATTGATGTCAGGAGTTCAAGACCAGCCTAGCCAACATAGTAAAAAGCGGTCTCTACTAAAACTACAAAACTTAGCCAGGCGTGGTGGCACACGCCTGTAATCTCAGCTACTGGGGAGGCGGAGGCAGGAGAATCGCTTGAACCCAGGAGACAGGGATTGCAGTGAGCCAAGATTGCGCCACTGCACTCCAGCCTGGGCAATAATGAGACTCCGCATCAGAAAAAAAAAAATGGGGCAGACAGGAAAACATCTCCCTCCATTAGCCCCAGACATTCCCTCCCCTCCAGAGGCAACCCTGTTACCAGCCTCGCCCTCACATGCCCTCCTCTTGCCGGTCAGTCTTTCCAGTGTTGACTCCAGCCCTAGCCACATCTAAGGCCTCAGTTCCCTGAAGCTGGGAGCCCTGGTCACGGCTCATCCTGTCTTCATCCGGCTCCAGCCCTGCTCAGCCAGTAGGCCAGGGTTAGGAGTTCAGGCCTTGGAGATGTGGGGTGCCAGAGGTTGAGGGCAGGGCCTGGTTAAAGGCCAGCATGGGCACAGAGGCAAACATCAGGGAAACCTTGGTCCTGGCCAACGGTAGGGCCTGGGGTGGGACGTGCTGCCAGTGGCTCATCTGTCTGGTGTGTGGCTGCTCACGGCCATCAGGGTTAGCCAAGGGCTTCCTGTTTATACCCTGGGGGCTGGAGGAATGATGAGCAGCCCGCCTCACTCCCTCAATCCATTTTCAGAGCCCAGTGAGCCATCGCCCAGCTTTGGGTCTAGTCCAGGAGAGGTTCACCCTAGGAGCTATGGTAGGCAGGGACTAAGGAAAGAACCAGGAAGGGCTCTGAGGCAATGTTCCGCTTACTACAGCCAGCCCTCTGTATCTGCGCCTCCACGTCCGCAGATGCAACCAACCTCAGTTTGGAAATATCTGGAAAAAAAGCTGGGCACGGTGGTTCACGCCTGTAATCCCAGCACTTTGGGAGGCTGAGGCAGGCGGATCAAAAGGTCAGGAGATCGAGATCATCCTGGCCAACATGGTGAAACCCTGTCTCTACTAAAAATACAACAATTAGCTGGGCGTGGTGGCTTGTGCCTATAATCCTACCTACTCTGGAACTGAGGCAGGAGAATCGCTTGAACCAGGGAGTTGGAGGTTTCAGTGAGCCAAGATTGCGCCATTGCACTCCAGCCTGGCAACCATGTGGATTTCATCTCCCAGCCTGATTCTAAGTTTGTTGAAGACTCATCTTGGTATCTCTGTCTTGGTTTGGGTTCCCCAGGATGCAGGCCCTGAGCATGGTAGCTCACACCTATAATCCTAGCACTTTGGGAGACTAAGGTGGGTGGATCACCTGAGGTCAGGAGTTCGAGACCAGCCTGGCCAACATAGGGAAACCCCATCTCTACTAAAAATACAAAAATTAGCTGGGCATGGTGGTGTGCACCTGTAATCCCAGCTACTCAGGAGCCTGAGGCAGGAGAATCGCTTCAACCCAGGAGGTGGAGGTTGCAGCGAGCAGAGATCATGCCACTGCACTCCAGCCTGGGCGACAGAGTGAGATTCTGTCTCAAAAAAAAAAAAAATAAACAAATAAAAATAAAATTCTTTTGAGACAGGGTCTCACTCTGTTGCCCAGACTGGAGTGCAATGGCACAGTCATGGCTCACTGCAGCCTCAACCTCCTAGCCCAAGTGATCCTCCCACTTCAGCCTCCCAGGTAGCTGGGACTACAGATGCATGCACCACACCCAGCTAACTTACTTATTTTTTTAAATTTCTAGTAGACAAGGTCTTGCTATGTTGCCCAAGCTGGTCTCAAACTCCTGCCTCAAGCAATCCTCCTGCCTTTGCCTCCCAAATTGCCAGGATTATAGGTGTGAGCTACCACGCCCAGCTAGAGATAATTTAAAGTATATGGGATAATTTGAAGTATAAAGTATATGGCATAATTTAAAGTATATAAAGTATATGAGAGATAATTTAAAGTACATAGGTGCAGATTATACACAAATATGTCGTTTTATATAAAGGACTTAAGTATCCTCAGAGGGGAATCCCCTGATGATCCAAGTGGGTTCCTGGACCGAATGCCCCGCAGGTATCTAGGGATGACTAATGCTACATAGCAAATCAGACAGGCTTAGTGGCATGAAACAGCAGCCATTTTTTTTTTTTTTTTTTTTTTTTTTGGTCTAAATTTTGTGGGTCAGGAATTCAGGAGGGCCCTGGCTAAGCAGTTCTCAACTGGGGTCTCTCATGTGATTGCAGTCTGATGTCAGCTGGGGTTGGAGTCATCTGAAAGCCTCAATTGGGCAAATAGCGCAAGACAGCTCCCTCCCATGGCTGGCAGGTGGTGTTGGCTGTCAGCTGAGAGGTCAGCTGGGGCTGTAGATCAGAGCGACTCCACCTGGCCTCTCCAGCGTCACAATTTCAGGGCAGTCAGACTGGGGCTGGCTTACCCCAGAGCAAGGGTCCTGAGAAAAGCGGATGAAAACTGCATGGCCTTTTATTACGTACCCACCCAACTTTACTTACAGAAGCCTCCCAGAATCAGGGAGAGGGACACAGATCCTATGTCTCAGTGGGAAGAGTGCCAAATCATGTTGGCACACGTTTAAAACCATCACAGATGACATCTCAGCAATGGTCTCTCTTTCTGCACTAACTGGGACCTCAGAGGTTAGGGCCCTGGAGCGCACCAGGAGACCCTAGGCTAGCACCCATGGTACAGATTCAAAGAGCAGGCCAGAGAGCATGGAGCCTGGCTCACCCTGTCTGTCCGTGACAGTGAAGGCCACAGACAGCAAAAGCCTCCTGGAGGGAGAAGCCAAGTCAGTAATGCGTGCTGGGAGGAGGCCTATGAGCGACCCCATCACGACGAAAAGCGTTTTTAAAAATTTGCTGGTGGCATGCACCTGTAGTCCTGGCTACTTGGGAGGCTGAGGAAGGAGAATCGCTTGAACCCGGGAGGCAGAGTTTGCAGTGAGCCGAGATCATGCCACTCCACTCTAGCCTGGGCAATAGAGCAAGACTCTATCTTAGAAAACAAAAAATTGCTGGGTGCAGTGGCTTACACCTGTAATCTGAGCACTTTGGGAGGCTAAAGCAGGTGGATTACTTGAGCCCAGGAGTTCGAGACCAGCCTGGGCAACACAGTGAAACGCTGTCCTACAAAAAATACAATATATATATATATTTTGAGATGGAGTTTTGCTCTTGTTACCCAGGCTGGAGTACAATGGTGTGAGCTCAGCTCACTGCAACCTCTGCCTCCTGAGTTCAGGCAATTCTCCTGCCTTAGCCTCCTGAGTAGCTGGGATTACAGGTACGCGCCACCATGCCCAGGTAATTTTTTGTATTATTAGTAGAGACGGGGTTTCACCATGTTGACCAGGATGGTCTCGATCTCTTGACCTTGTGATCCACCCGCCTCGGCCTCCCAAAGTGCTGGGATTACAGGCATGAGCCACTGTGCCCGGCCAAAAAATACAAAATATTTAGCCAGGTGTGGTGATGCATGCCTGTGGTTCCAGCTAATTGGGAGGCTGAGATGGTACAATTGCTTGAGCCCAGGAGTTTGAGGCTGCAGTGAGCCATAATCGTGCCACTGCACTCCAGCTTGGGCAACAGAGTGAGACCCTGTATTGAAAAACAAAACAAAACAAAAAAGCCTGCTGGGGTGAGGGGGCTGGGAACCTGCACCTGGGTTCTCAGGTTCAAAAGAAGCTGAGCTGCAGGCGATCAGTCACAGAAACCCAGCTAGGGCAGGGAATGTTCACAGCCGTACTCCCAACAGCTTCTCAGCAGAGATTTGTTGGCCAGGTGCAGTGGCTCACGCTTGTAATCCCAGCACTTTAGGAGGCCGGGGGGGTTATAGTGGGTGGAGGGTGGTGGATCACCTGAGGTCAGGAGTTCGAGACCAGCCTGGCCAACATGGCAAAACCCTGTCTATAATAAAAATACAAAATGGCCTGGTGCAGTGGCTCACGCCTGTAACCCTTACACTTTGGGACGCCAAGGCGGGTAAATCACCTGAGGTCAGAAGCTCAAGACTGGCCTGGCCAACATGGTGAAACCCTGTCTTTACTAAAAATACAAAAATTTAGCTCATGTTGTGCTGGGCACCTGTAGTCCCAGCTACTTGGGAGGCTGAGGCAGGAGAATTGCTTGAACCTGTGAGGCAGAGGTTGCAGTGACCCAAGGTTGTACCACTACACTCCAGCCTGGGAGACAAGAGCAAAACTCCATCTCAAAAAAAAAAAAAAAAAAAAAAAATTAGCTGCCTATAATTGGGAGGCTGAGGCAGGAGAATCGCTTGAATCTGGGAGGTGGAGGTTGCAGTGAGCTGAGATCATGCCATTGCACACCAGCCTTGGCAACAAGAGCAAAACTCGGTCTAAATAAATAAATAAACAAATAAAGCTGGGCACAGTGGCTCACACTTGTAACCCCAGCACTTTGGGAGGCCAAGGCGGGCAGATCACAAGGTCAGGAGTTTGAGACCAGCCTGTCCAATATGGTAAAACCCCATTTCTAGTAAAAAATACGAATATTAGCCAGATGTGGTGGTGCACTCCTATAGTCCCAGCTACTCAGGAGGCTGAGGCAGGAGAACTGCCTGAACCCAGGAGGTGGAGGTTGCGCTGAGCTGAGATCACGCCATTGCACTCTAGCCTGGGTAACAAGAGCGAAACTCCATCTCAAAAAAAATAATAATAATAAAAATAAATAAATAAAATACATAAAATAAAAATACAAAAAATTAGCCGGGCATAGTGGCAGGCACCTGTAATCTCAGCTACTCAGGAGGCTGAAGCAGGAGAATCATTTGAACCCAGCAAGCAGAGGTTGCAGTGAGCCAAGATTACTCCACTGCACTCCAGCCTGGGCAACAAGAGTGAAACTCCATCTCAAAAAGTAAAAATAAAAAAATGGAGATTTGCTGACTGTGAGGAGTAGGGCATGTTGGGGAAGGGTAGGGATCTGCCCTGGTCCCTGCCCCTTGCTCCTCTCCGCTTGGCCTCTGCACAGGGTAGCTGCCAAGGTGGCAAATGCCCAGCCCCTTGCCCACTCCAGGGGCCTGTCCAGGCTCTTGGTCACTTCCTGAGCAGCAGGACACATTCTGCCCTTTGCGGCCCTGAGAGGAAGCAGCTTATCAGAAGGGTAAGGACACTCTGTTCAGGCCTGGCCATTTGCCTGGGCTAGAGGAGCCATGTCTAGGAGCTGGTAAAGCAGAGCAGGCCTGGGTGGAAGGGCCTGGGGAGGGCAGATGATTGAGGCTTCATGCCCAGGCCAGGCCAGGACCCCAGCCTCTCCCAGGGTCCACTCAGCCCCTGCACTGCTGTCTGCCATCCTATCTTCTCTTCATTTCCTTCCTACTTCTCTGACTCCTGGTAGTTTTTCACTCATACCTTTCATTCAAGCAATACTTAAGGAATATTTTATGTTTGATTTTTGTTTGAGACAGGGCCTTGCTATATTGCCCAGGCTGGTCTTGAACGCCTGACCTCAAGCGATCCTCTGGCCTCAGCCTTCCAAACAGCTGGGACTACCCGTGCGAGCTTCCGTGCCTAGCTTTAGTCAAGGAATACCTTATATATGCTAGGCAGCTGGGCTCACAGCAGCAAACAAAACAGGCAACACTGCCTGCCCTCATGAAACTTACATTCCAGTTAAGAGAGACAGTCAACAAGCACATAAACAAATTAAATATATGATATGTTACATGATGAAAGTGATCTGAGGGAAGATAAAGCAGGGCAAAATAGGCCAGGCCCGATGGCTCATACCTGGAATCCCAGCACTTTGGGGGGCTGAGGTGGGCAAATCACTTGAGGCCAGGAGTTCGAGACCAGCCTGCTTAACATGGAGACCAGCCTGGCCAACGTGGCGAAACCCCATCTCTACTAAAAGTAACAAAAATTAGCCATTGAAAAATTTAAAAATCACCTTGTTGCCCAGGCTGGTCTCAAACTCCTGGGCTCAAGTGATCCACCCACCTTGGCCTCCCGAGGTGCTGGGATTGGTTGCCAGAGTGAGCCACAGCACCCATTGCCTTTTTTTTTTTTTTTTTAAACATTGTGTGATTTAGACATACTCCTTTAGTTGCACACATTTCTGCAAAACAATAAAAATTAAAAAAATTAAAAAGAAATACCCCTTTAGAAGGTGACTGCTGAGCAGAGACCTCAGGAGGTGAGGTAGTGAGTCATATAGACTCCCAGAGGCAGGGCCTCCAAGGCAGAGGGAACAGCGAGGGCACAGGCCCTGAGGCAGGGTAAGCTGGGTGTGGGCAAGGAACAGCAGAGAACCCAGGGTGCGGCTGAGCACGGCGACTCATGCCTGTAATCCCAGCACTTTGGGAGGCTGAGGCAGTCAGATGACCTGTGGTCAGGAGTTCAAGACCAGCCTGAGCAATATGGTGAACTCCCATCTCTAGTAAAAATACAAAAATTAGCTGGGCGTGGTAGCACATGCCTATAATCCCAGCATTTTGGAAGGCTGAAGCAGCAGGATCACCTGAGGTAGGGAGTTTGAGACCAGCCTGACCAACATGGAGAAACCT